ATAATACAACAATAGCACACACACACACACACACACACACTAATATATATATATATATATATATATATAAATAGTGTGCGAGAACATAAACGGCCACCAGGGGTCCTGGACTGCTTGTACATACATACACATTGCTAAAGTTAGTCGTAGTTATGATAGCGCTTTCTTACGCCTTATCTGAGAATAATTAACCCCTAATCTCGCTAGCTTCGATAGTTATCGATGACGTTTCATACTTCCTGACTGGGAAAAGCAAATCTCTAGCTCGGATAGCGTTTAAAATAATCAATAACGTTTCATACTTCCCTATTTGGATCAACAATGCCCGATTTCTGATATCTTTGAATGCTCTTTGCTTTAGGTATAACAATAACATGTTGGTGGGTGCGCAATTGGGCAAAGGCTGGTGCTCTATCGACGATAATACCCGCGTGCACGAGATGTACGCACCTCACAGACCCGATACCGAGGATAAGTCCACCCCCAAAAAATAATGGACAAACCCAAATAATGTAGCAGTGAAGAGCTCGAATAAGTTAATGGTGAGCAACCAAATATGGTAAAAGTGAACAACCCAAATAAATAGATGAAGCCAAAGTTGATTACAAGTGTCTTTACAAGTATTCCATCTCCAATACTTCACAGTTTTCATTCACAGTTTTCATTCATAGATACCATATAGACCATGAAATTTAATTGGGGACAAGACAATGAAACGCTCTTCAGAGACATTCGGACGGGTACGTCATTTTATCAGGACCTCTCAGGGTTTCAACTGTTCGCTTTCAATCTATATGCGCTAAATTCATAAAACATTAGAACCTCATTAAATCCATACTCCTACCCCTCAATCTTGAAATGAAAGTAAATTCAGGATGTTACATATACAATGTTTTCAATTCACGAAAATTTAATCTATACTACTTTTGCGGGAAAATTACCATCAGAGTCAGCCACCCTAGTGTGAGATTGATAGTGACCGTAGTGCACACAGTCTCGGGAGAGTCATCAACATTCACCAAAGTGATTTAAATTATATATAAACATCGCTTAGTGAGTATATAAACATCGCTTTGTGAAAATATAAACATCGCTTAGTGAGTATATAAACATCGCTTAGTGAGTATATAAACATCGCTTAGTGAGTATATAAACATCGCCCGGATTTCAAGTGCGGATTGTAGTCTGCCGGTCTAGCGTCTATGATGAACGATGGGATAGCGAAGGAAGCTAAGTCCAACGTTGTTCCTCCCGAAATCGATGAAAGTCACTTTCGATTGCTGTACAGGTTAAGGAGTTGGGTTGGGACGAATTTTTGTCAGTTGTCATTCCCAATTGCCACACACTGCTGGAAATCTATCTTAGCTATTGGTTGAATATTCGGACAGCTCTGATTGCGCCTTCCTGTCCTTGGCCGCCTACACATATAAATCTGTTACATATAGTACTTAAGTTTTAGCAAAGGGGTCCACAAATTCTCGGTGTGTTAAACATGTTCATATAGGAGGCTCGGTATCGTCTTTCAGGGTAAGTTTTGAAAACAAATAAATAGGAACAACTGAAACTGCACTTGAAGAATATGGGGAAAACGATTTTTGCCATCAATATCGTGGAGGTGTCAGCATTTTACACCGTGTTGCCGCTTTTTGCATCTTTGCTGCGTAATTCGTGAGCAAATCGATTATATCTATCATAAACCATTTATATCGTGCAAACGTAGTGTTCTGAGAGAGTTGAACTGAGCCACTGCCATGGTCAAAGAGTGCAATAGCTTGATCTATCCTTTTCATTGTAATTATATGTAGATTATGTACCACAATTTCTCTTCTTTAGAAATTAACAAGAACTATAATATGAATCACATATTTTCTAGTATAATCCGATACACATCCAATGAATAGTCAACATAAATCTCTGCACAAAGATTATAGTAATTGCACCTGTTCTATTTTAATCTGTACTCTGTAGAGTATCTAGACTCTAGAGTAGAAATAAGAGTCTATGTAGACTGTAGACTGTAGAGTGTAGACAGTAGAGACTCTAGAATTTTATTATTATTATAAATAAATGGAGATATTCTGAGAGTAAATTCCTGAGACAGGAATTTACGGGATTCCAGAATTTATAATTATTGTCGGAGAATTGAGAATTGATTTATTATAAAAAAAACAAATATTGAGAAGCTGAAGTTGAACCAGGAAGCCTCAGCCGAGGCCCGAGAGTCAGTCAGTCAGCCCTCAGGGCTTCAGCCTTATCAGGCGGATGACGGATCACGTCATCACGGCCTCAGGCCTGGTTTGGCCGCCATCCGGGCAGTCGGGGGTCGGGGCGCTGATGCGGCTTCTTGACGTTCGGCCGTCGGCGGGTTCAAAAGTTTTTCCTCTCTACTATACTAAATACTTCGAAATAAAATAGGTCGGGTTCTGACTTCTGCCGTTCTTCTGTTCCTGGCCCTGGGCTGAATGGGCTCCAGGTTCACCAGATCTGCCTTTGTTTCTATTTATTTTTAATTCCCCCCTCTTTTTTTAGTTTTTACTGGACTACCGAGTGCCGACAGGGCAGCATGGGACTGAGAGTGAGGGTCAGGCCGTCAGGGACTCACTCAGGGCACACCGACATATTTATACATACGCCGGCGACGCATTGGTCAATTATCTAGCATTATTACTCGCTCAGGTCAATGATGATAATTCACAACAGATCGATCGTCGAGTATCGATCAGTGACGAATTCGGAATTTCGACGATCACTCTCTGTTTTGATTTTCAATATTTTGTGTGCACAGAGCCACAGACCACAGTGCGGAATGCCGAGTACAGTGCAAACCGCAGACGCGACACTTCACGCCTCACGGTGGCCGTCACAAAGTACACAGAGTTAGAGATGGAGATGAAGATTCAGCCTCACTTTCAGGCGTAGAATTTAGGTAAAACCGAATTTGAATCCCGCCTCTTGCGTGGATCTAAATGATCACCAGAAAAAGTAGTGAGCCGTAGCTCGACAAATTTAGTACTTAAGAGCGCACAAACTCTCTGATTGAAAACATAACAGAACAAAAACCACTATCAAGACACAATATACCTACATTTTGAATTGATATCTAACCCAGAATGTTTAAAGTAACAGCAACATTGTTTACTATCATGGTGGCAAGCACGGGTTTGGCAGCCGCAAAGTCACGGCCCCGGGGATTGTGGACTATGACTAATGGGGTTGGCGGGGAAGAGCGCTTCAACATGAGCACAGCCAATATTGTGCGTGGGTTTCTCATCGATGACGAAACTGGCCAGGCCGATGACATGTACGAGTTCAAGACGGGTGGCAAAGGCTTGCCTGTGAAAATAGAAAGAGATATATTTAAATTCTGGTCCGATAGTATGGGTTCAATACGGCCTTTGCATTCCATAGCAACCAACGACAGGAACGGAGACCAGCGTTTCTTGTTGGCAATCATTGCTGGAGACCCGAGTTTCAGTGTGATGCAGATCGATCCCCAGTTGGGATTGGAACTGAAACACAGACAGGAATTAAATGGGTTACTACCGTGCTCTCTTGACTATCACGAAGAATTGGGTCTGATCGCCGTCATCACTTGCGGCGAAGAAGGAACTTTGGAGATGTTCAACTTTGATACCAAGACCGGAAAAACAAAGAGCGCAGGTGACACAGTACAACTCGAGGTCGAGCAAACAAAGGTGGAACAGTATGACTTTGCCTTCTCAGAAGATACGGCACCGGCACAAGTAAGCTTCACACCACGTGGAGAGGGTCTGGTGGTGTTATATCATGGAGAAGAGGATAATTATAAAGGGTTGGTCTACTATCATTTGAACGATGATGGTACTGTTGAAACAGGAGGCGAGAAAGGTCCGGCAACCACTGAGCTTGCAAATCCAGACACAGAGTTATATCCAATTTTTAACCCTTTCGGATTCTGCACGGTGAACAGTGATCAGGTTGATGAGGGAGATGTGCTGATCATGCTCACCATTGCTGGAACTTGGGATGTATCGACATACAAAGCTAACATCAAAGATGGCAAGTTTAAAAAATCGACACCACTTCCGCGGGCCGGTTTCCGTGTTGGTGCCAGTACTCCAGGGGTAAATATTACACAACCAACGGAAGTAGAGGCTCTATGTCAATTGGAACTCTGGATCCAGCGACTGGGAAGATTCAGTCAGAGCTGGATGAGTATTCTATGGGAGCCCAGTTCAACTTCGGCGCTACTAACAACGAGACCCAGTACAACGTAGGCGGTGTGAATTTGGCCGTTTCTAACCCTTCTGAGGGCGAGGAAGGCAAGTCATTCCTGTACGCGAATGCCCAAGGCTTGGCAGAGATGGTGGCTCTAGATATAACTGGCCAAGGTAACTCTAAACGTCCTACTTCGGTTGTCAAACGTCTAGCGTCTGTTCGCTACCCTGCTACTTTCATTAGCAGCTTGGGAGTGACCACAATCGATGCACCTTCGGATGAGTAAAAGTGGAGAATGTCAATTCTCAGAATCTCCAAGTATGAAGCGTGCAATTCAGTTGATTTTAAAAATATAAGGTACTATACACTTTGATCTTAAGCCTCCTTCCAATTTTCACCTAATATTACAAGTTTAAAGCGCGCATCAAAGCGTTTGTCCGCTGTATGCACGCGCACAGAGCTCCGAATGAATTATCTAAACTAGAATGTATATATATATTTGTGTAGGAGTACACAGATAATTGGCATACCGTTTTGCAGTAGAGAGCACAGCTTGTAGTACGATGGCTATTAAGACATCGTTCACACGTCCGTATATGAAGCTTTCATTAAGCCCGAATCAGACGTAACTTGGTATTGAATTTTTGTACGATCCTACTTCGATACCACTGTCAATCTATATACTGGTTTCACCACTGTCTACTATTGATCAAGGAGCTTGAGGCCTGCACAGCGTTGACAAATCTACATCGACATCTGCATCTATTAACCGATCGCAAGGGTACGGCTTAGAAAGTGGCCCTGGATATTCTGAGATTACTCACTCGGCTCTTATGTCCCCTTTACACCCAGCACTCATCATGTTAAGAAGACAGGCGCAAGCAAATGAACACTCCTGCGAATTATTGAGGCCCCCACAAGTCTGAGTGGAGAACTCTCCAAACTCTCCGTCTTTTACGAACACTCGACGTGTAGTTTCGGCTACAGGTACGAGATAAGTAATTTGCAAGGTCCCCTTCTATGTCTCTGCGCTTACATTCAAATAGAAATTAATAAATCTGTGGGATGATACTCATATCGCAACAGGCCGTTAACTTCTACCCAGCCTGGGAGACACTACAGCACTCAGTGCAGAGCTTTCTTGCCGCATGGCATAATCTGAAGCTTTCAGTGCGTTTGCTCGTTGAGAAAGATCCCGTAGTTGTTGCGTAAGAGTCTTCATATCTTGCGCTAATCTCTGTGGGAATCATACGATATATTAATATGAGGGCATTTTTTTTAGGCAAGTAGGCTATTTCGCACATATAGATGATGTGGAGTTATCACGCTATTAAAATGTACATTAAGGTGTGTACACCATGATAAAAAATGATATACTTACACCCCCAACCATCAACGCACCCACACAAACACACACATACACACAAAACAGAAAAAACAGCCAAACACACGCACACACACACACACACACACACACACACACATATATATATATATATATATAATAATATATAATATATATATATATACAACAACACACACACACACACA